TTTACACGTAAAAACATTTTATCAGATTTGGTCGGATGGTTGTCGAGATATCTTCGCTCAAAGTTAAAGAAAAAATTTGCGCAGATTTTATTTTGAAATGCATTTAAATTTTTCTCTAACTTTGAGCGAAGAAATCTCAATAATCGCTTGACTAAATTCAAAGAAAATTTTTTCATTCGGATTCCATGAATCCATAGAGTTCAAATAAAAGGCGTTTTATCGAATTTGGTCAGATAGTTATCGAGATATCTTCGAGAAAAAAATTCGGCGCAGCTTTTATTTTGATGCGGTTTGATTTTTATCTAACTTTAACAGGATATCTTGATAACCATCTGATTAAATCCGATGAACTTTTTTTTATTCTCTGTGAATATTCAGAAACGCTTTATCGAATTTGAAAATTCAGACATCTAATATGTAACACGTGATAATTATAAAGATACGATAGAGATTGTATATATGTACTGAAATTAAACGGATTATGTTATAAAAGATTATACGAGACAGAATATTTAGATTTTATATATATCTGATAGAATAATTGGCCTGTTATCTTTATAATTTTTAAATTTGATTTAGATTATTTTTTGACAAGCATCTGACTTATATTAAAAATCGAAAATAACTTGTATTTTAAGGAGTATCTTGTTTATGATTATACTTTTATTAATAATTAATCTAAACTAGAATATTATTAATCAATATTTATTATAAGTTAAATTTTATTACATTACTTTTATACCATACATAAAATTTTTATTATCGAATTATATTACTATCATATTTAAAAAAATAATTGAAATTAAGTTTACAACCCAGGGTGCTATTGTAAACTTTAATTTCAAAAAAAAAATTATTAAAATGTTTACAACCCAGGGTGCTATTATAAACATTAATTTTAAAAAAAAATAAATACAAAAATTCGTTTACAACCCAGGGTGCTATTGTAAACAAAATTTTGTATATATTTTATAAAAATTTTTATATACAGATAAAAGAAAAAAAAATAATTTATATGCATTTTTTCCTACTACTAAACAAAAATGCGATTAATAAATATTAAAAATTAATATAAAAATTAATATTTTTTTTACCCACCTATGGTACTATAATTGAGTTTTTTGCAAAACTTGATATTCTTGAATTGTTAGCCAAGGTGGTTTGGTAGCTTCTTTGGCTAGACAATCTTTAACCATATGTTCATCAGTTTCCCAATACCGAAAACAGTAACCACGATAATGTTGTGGAATTTGTTCACAGTTTATAGCCCAGTGACCTTTAGTGCAACAGAAAGAGCAAGTTTTAAACAAATTTTTATGATTTTGTGAACTTGTAACGACAACACTTGAAGATATATTCTCTCAATCCTCAAATGGAGCCAGGGCTGTAGAAGCGACAGAAGTAGCAGTAGTTGTGGTGACAGAAGAAGTAGAGGCAGTAGTTGTAGCGGCAACAGGAATGGAGATGTTAGAAGTATAGGTAGAGGAAGAAGTTGAGTCTGGACTTTCATTATTTATTAACGTTAAGCTTTTTTCATAGTTTAAAATATCATGAATAAAAGCACTTGCTATTTCTTGTGATTTTATTAAACCATCTACAATATATTGAAATTTAGACATTATTACTTCGAAAATAAGTGTAAAAACTAACTGTAATTGTTCAACTAATAAATGTTACAAACCTGGGTTTTTTAATCTAAGAGAAAGAATGTGAGAAGTATCTCACGAGAAATGAGGGGATAATCCTAATTCAGATTTTTACAGGAGATGAATCATAATGATAACGATAACGATAACTATAATTAGTAATGTTCATGGCATCTCAATTAACATTTAACGTTAATGTTAACATTGGGGTGATTGATCAACTTGTGTTCGTAATTCTGGTAAGTCATAGCCCTGGTAAACATAATAACTAGTAAATGTCACGTGAAAGTTCATTGTTTAAATTTGTCCCTTGTTATTTTAAAGTCAAATTTTGACGCTAAAATTTAAGCCTATAAAATTTATTTTATTTTGAACTTTTATACTAACAAGATATTAAAGAATATAGAAATTGTGCTCAAATTTTCTATTGCTTATAATCCAATTGAGTATAATTAATTGAGTGTATTATTTTCTAAATGACTAGGTAACTGTAAATCAATCTCGATATTATTCTTATTTAGCTTTCCATTCTGATATTTACATAATTGACTGAGGTAATTGATTTCTTCATTCTTTTTTTTCATATGTGAAACAACTATATATTTAGTGAATAATTTTTATTAGTGGTTCTAGCATTTTTTTTAAGGAACAAAATAAGATTCATTTTTCATACAATATTATAGCTCTAAGACTCAATTTTCATACAATCTTATATTTGCTAAAAATGCCTAATCGGACTCAAATATTAATTTTAATTATTTAAATAATGATAGCGAATTATTTTCGAAGATTATACATGTGTTGTTTTGATTGGTTAATTTTTATCTTTACATCTGTGTTGAGTTTATCTGAGAAGTTATTGTTTCTTTAATATCAATATAATTATGTATTAATTATTACTGCGGATAACTTTCAGTGCTTTCGTTTGTGTAATGGTACAATTATATAAAAAAATCGCCCTAATCGTAATTGTTTAACGTTAACGTTATCGTTATAAAGATTCTATTTTAGGACATGAACATATTGTTTATTTTGTTTTTTGAATAAAAACCTCTTGATAGAATGATTATCTTCCTGGTGACCTCTTAGCTGCATAAATTGATGACACTAT